TTTTTTTTCTGATTTGGGTCATTTTTAGTGGATCCTCATCAGCCCGATCTGCACATCCAGCCACCACTGGTATTTCCGCCACGTATCAGGTGCCCGCGTCTGCTTCCCTTGTTGGCAAGTTACCTGTGAATCCTAACAACTCCGCTGTGGGTCCGAACGCCTCACCTCAATTGAAGACACCGGCTGCGATCGCACAGATTCCGATTCCTTTGCAGGTTCGTATTTTAGTTGTCTTCATGGGATCTGAGGCCATTCTGAAAATGGTTTAGAAATCTGGTTCACAAATTTCGCATGCACCAACGGAGCCAGTTATCAAGGAGGATGAAGATGAGAGCAGTGAATCATCTGGTGGTGCGAATGGTGTTACCACAATCACGCATCTACCCATCATCGGGGGCGCACCTGTAGCACAGGTAAAACATCTTTTTTGTTATCTCAGAAGTCATCCTGCTTATGCTCTGTTCATGTTTCTAGAGCCCACTCCCACCAGCTGAGGAAGTTGCTCCTGAAATGAAGACTTCGGTATCTGTCACGCCCGAAAGAGAGCACAAGTTAGTTTTTTTTTGCATTTACTGAGATGAAATCGTTTCATGATTGTTGACTGAGTATTGTAAGTGGTTTCTGCTTCTATTTCACCTATCGGACCATGTGTAACTTTGCATGAACCAAACAGCCTCCGATTTGAACTGTTCACCTTCACTTTTTTGACCTGTGGGTGGCTACTATCAAACTCAAGTTAACTGAATCAAAGTCTGCAAGCCAAGCATCGTGATGATGTTGTTCCTCCGGGAACAACACAGAGGATTAAAAAATCCGATTGAGGAATCAAATCATTACGAGCTATGATTCTGCATATGCGTTGAGAATTATATCGGTTTGAGTTGCGTCTAACCTAAAAGGTTTTGATTCACAATGCGCCACTATCAGGGCTGTCTTTATGGTCTAAGGTGAATTCCGATTGAGTAGCAAATCAGCACCCGCCATTGGGTGGGGACCTTTTTTTGCAAAAATGCATCTACCCTATTTTCGGTTGTATAACCCGCATCCACTTTGCTCTAAACGCGAGCAGATGCCGCTGCGCATGTGTCTTGCGAGGCGTCGCTTTTCGCACATTGCTCTCACTAAGGCAGTGTCCGGGCAAAATTACGAACAAAGTTTTTCTCGCATACCTGCGCTCTTCCCGCTAAATCCGAAAATGCAATTGCAGTGTACGAAAATGTCGAAA